CCCCCCCCCCATATCTTTCCTGTCACCCCTCCCCTGTCATCCCTTCCTTTTTAACTTCTCTCCTTATAAATTTCCTTTTCTACCTTTCCTTTTCTACCGTTTTTCACTTTCTAGTATTATGAAATTATCTCTTCTTAGAAGTTGAATTTTTTTGTTTATTTATTATTTTTTTTACCAGAGTAATAACAAGAACTCATCTCAAAGCCATGACTCAGCATCTCAGGATGAATCCAGTGTAGAGTGTCCCCTTGATAGGCAAGAACTTGGCCGATCAACATGGAACTTTCTTCACACAATGGCTGCATATTATCCAGACAATCCTTCCCTACAACAACAAGATGACATGGCTAGTTTTGTAAAAATATTTTCCAAATTTTATCCTTGTGAAGACTGTGCTTCACATCTTAGAGAAAGGTAAATTTGTCATAGTGCAGCCATACAAGCATTGGATTTTTCATTTTACTGAAAATTGTGTACTGTTTATCTTTATTTCTTTTTATTTTTTTTTTATTTAGGTTACAAACTCACCCCCCTGACACAAGCAACAGATACAGTTTTTGTCAGTGGATGTGCCATATGCACAATGAAGTAAACAGGAGGCTTGGAAAAAAAGAATTTGACTGTTCAAAGGTTGATGAGCGATGGCTTGATGGGTGGAAAGATGGATCATGCGACTAATCAATGTATATAGTATTACAATATGATTAGTCATCAGTGTCTAAAAACTGTAATAGTACTACACAGGAACCATGCAGGAGGAGGGGCTGGGGGACTGTAGCCCCCCCACTCTTTTAAATTAAACAAAAAGTTATTTAACAAAAATAACAAAGCCAAAAATAGCCCCCCCACTCAAAAACTTGCTGCATGTTACTAAACATCTTTCAAAAGAAATATTGCTTATTTAAATGATTCTCCAGTGTGCTGGTTGATCCAGTATAGTTAGGGAAGAAATATTGTTGGGACAATGAAATATAACAACAAAAATAAAAATGAGACAATATGTTAACCTTAGAAAATAAGGTATTTAATTGGTGCCTTCAGTGTGTAAGGGATATGGATTTTTATGAACAAAAGCTAAGCTCTTCTCAAATAGGAGTTGTGCAACCTTCAAACAAATAGATGTTTCCCCCACCAGAAAAACAAATACAAAAGCAAATGCTCCTCTTTGAGCTTGGCAAAAGCTATTACTTGAGAGGAAGTAAGATATAGCAATACTTTGTAGTATTCAGTGATATCACTGTAATTTGTAAAACTGTTTTAAAGTTTTGTTAACCCTTTGGCCCTGTAAGAGTGACTGGCATCTAATTTCTCCTTACAATATCAGCCCTGAATCACACATTAAAGTCACAAGAATGAAGGACACGATTGCCTACTAAAGTAGCTCCTGATTGTTAACAAATTTTCCTTGTCAGCACCTTACAATTAACATACACAGAATGGTATGATGAATATGCATACTGATGTTAGGGTGTAAAGGGTTACCTCTCCTACCCTTAGAGGTTATGAAGTGATTGAGGTGTGGCCTCTTTTAACACCAGAGAATAGGCATATGATACAACAGTCACAGGTTGGTGTCTTTATGTATTACCAAATTCCCTTGAGTGATTTTCAAGGACATTTACAGTGCATAGAAGCAAGAATTACAATCACTTCATAGGAGATACAAGGTCACAAGAGTTTTAAATTGAACTGGATAGAAAAGTAGATGAAGCCTTCTCAAACCCCCTGGAGTTTTGACTCTCTAAAAGGTTTTTCTTCAAAATGTAATTTGGTTTGATGATATTACATTTTTCAAAAAAAAAAACTACTACCCACAATTTTTTGGCATGATTGATGCTTTCAAGTTTTGCTTAACCCTGGATCACTAGCATTCATTTTGGTGAAGTGATTTCGAATTTTCAAAATTGAGGGGTTGGACAGCTGCAGTATTTGTAACAGAGATTGAAATCTTCACGAATTCTAAGAACAAGAAGGAAATTTCACCGATGGTTGATTAATGCAGCTTATTTCACACTAATGGAAATTAAATTTACCATAAGCTATAAAACAAAAGAATGAGTTCTCCTGAATGGGTGAAAGAAGATCTACTTCACATTGTATTTCAGTTCGTTAACGAAAGCAACCTTCTTTGAATTGCTAGCATGCTGAATATTTATTTTGTTTCCAAGAGGCTGGTATTAATTGTGAATCACCGGCTATTACGATGAGAATCTAGTTATCAGCGTATCAATTTCTGTTTAAAGTGATTATTAAGAGTTCCACAACCTATTGAAAAATTGATACCCTCTTCCGAAATTTCATGGTGTTAGATAAAACCTAGGCATTTTCTGAACGAAAATATTTGGAAAAGTTCAGGGACGAACTGGATAGAATAATGAATAATTATTAGCGTACATTTATCGGCAATTTGGCCGAATGATAATTTTATTAAACGCTAAAGCAATACAAAATTAAGAAAGCACTTAGGGTTATGAATATTAAAGCTAAATGCGTGGTGCGCTTAGAGGAAAGCTGTATATTCTCGAACATTCAGGGTTTTTCTTCCCTTTTTTTAATTTAAATCTGAAAAAAAAGAATCACGTCTTTTTCAGAACACATATACGGTTTCAATTTTTGTTGGGATTTTAATTGGATTTCTGTATATTTTAAGATGTTGCAGCCTCTTTTTCTATGTTAAACGAATTGAGAGAAATTACCAAAACTTAAAGGAAAAACTTATATGAAAGATATCGCCCTCAGCAACAGGGCTTTGGCACTTTGTTTTCATGTTGGGGATGCTGAATTACTTAAGACTGAATCTTACCCTTAGGGACAAATTTAAATAAATGTAATTAGAATTGACCGAGTTCTGCGTGATGTGACAGCTGTAGTGTAAAAAGTCAAGACGGAGTATCTATTTAAAATGATTTCGTAATTTTGAGGAAAAGAAAAGGTTAAACTTTTTTTCACAAACCCAATTAGAGCACCAGAACTCGATTTGTCATAGGCATGAAATATTCATTTATCTGAAGTAGAGGGCGTCATGAAAGATTAATCTGCGAAATTGATTCCCAAATTTAAACGAAATTAAAAAGGCGAGGCGAACTTTTCATTTTCCCGGCAATACTGGACCAAGACTATTTAAGAATAACTACAGTAGGTAAAATCATGATAAAAAAATTCCTTTGGATAGAAGTTCTGAGACAGCCATCTAGAAGGCGATAATTGAAGGAAAATTGAACACCTTAAATTGTGAAAAGTTTTTTTATCAAAATTTTCTTCGCTCAAAGTTCAAAGTACACCGTCCTTTACGTACTTTGTGCATCTTGCAAATTCATGTCGCCAGTACCCAAGTTTTTTTCTTGTCTTGAATAGGTCAAGTCATATGAAGACGATTAATTACACCTTTGCTCCAGGATTTGTATTTAAATTAATCAAATATAGAAAGGGTATTGTCGAGTCAATTACATTAAAAGCTTCCGCAATACACAGTGCACTTTCCGTGTTCTGTAAATATACCTTATTCAATCATAATCTGTGTGTGAGTTTTATTCTAACAATAAGTCCTTACATTGAGGAATATTGTCTATCAAAGACTCAATTTGCCACTTTCTATATTTGTTTGCCCAGTGATTCGTCGGTAGAAAAAGAGATGAGATTTGGCTGTCGTGGTTTATCTCCACATCAAGGCACCGTGACAAGTTCTTAAGTGATCTTTATTTCCTTCTCAGGCGTAGCTGCTGTGGCAAATTCATGAACCTGAGAAGGGCTTAAGTCTGGTTGACAGAATTAATTCGAAGCGTCATTTTAGAGCTTTAGGACTAAAGCTTATCGTAAGTTTAAGTGTGGTTTTGAAAACTTGACCTATAGCGCGCACTCGAAAGGTGCAAATAGATTAAGCTGAAATATTCTGAACTGGCAGTGAAATTTTTAGTAACAGCAAGAAGGACTGAAAAAGAAATTAAAACTTCAGTGATAAATTGGCAACTGGAAAACGACCAAAAAGAAACTGTGAAACAATTAAGGACTGAATGGCTAGACATATTTGCATTGAAGTAAGGATAAATGGCTCTAAAAAAAGATATGACAAATCAATAAATTAACGATTCTTTGCCGAAGCACACACTAAATGGACCCGCAGACTATTGTACAGAGATGTATTTTTTTACAGATCTTCGCTTCGCTATGAAGTCATCAGTGGTGCTATCAGTTCACCAAAATTCAATTTTAGAACCGTACTTGAAGCTTCTTTGAAACTCGAGATTATTTGATTTTATTGATTAATTTTGCTCAATCGCGTTCACGAAACTGATTTCTTCACAGGTTATTATTTGTTTCACGGTGGAGGCATTTGTCACTGGCGGTAGAGAAGACAAGAAAAACCACACAGATTAATACAAGCTCGCAGAGGAATGATTCACGGAAACGCCTCGAGCCGCTGGTGGGTCGAGCTTTTAACAGAAGTGACAATTTTCGTTATAGGGTTTTTGGGAAATATCTTTGTGCTTATTATCGTTCACAAGAGGAACGCCAGGATGACAGTACATGGGATTTTTGTTACAAGTCTGGCTATTGCAGATCTGGTTTTGCTGTGCTTTGATTCACCTGTTTCTATTTTACGCCGGTTCAGTCTCGAGTCCGAAACATATAACTGCAGAGTACATCCGTCTGTTGTTACAACCGGATACAATGCAGGACTCTTCACTATCACTTCCATGGCGATTCATCGGTGCCATATTGTAACAAATCCGTGGAAACCGAAGCTGAAGCGGAGAGGTTCAATAATTTGGGTGTCGCTTGTGTGGCTGGCTGCTTTTATTTTGGTTATTCCGCTTATTGTTGTCAATAGAATAACAGAAAATGGCAAATGTGAAGAGCAGTGGTCCTCACTCACAGTCCGTCGGGCATACACTGCTTTGCTAATGACACTTCAGTACATGCTACCACTGCTCATAACAGCAATTTGTTATCTTCGAATACTGGTATTTTTGAAACAGCGACCTGTGTTGCCGGGAAACAACGATCCCAGCAACAGAAGTCCAGCTCTAAATGAAGAGAACACCAGAGAAACAATAACGATACTAAAGACCGTAGCAGCAATTGTTTTCTTGTTTTTGGTGTTGTTGTTGCCAAATCAAGTCGCTTGGATGCTGTTGGATTTCAGAAATGTTTCCTATGAAGAGCTTTGGTTTGTCGCAGATATACTGACAAGACTGCATAGCTGTCTAAACCCAGTTGTGTACGGAGTCACGAACAAACAGTACCGTCGTAGTTACGCCAGCTTTTTATCGTGCATGTTTTGCACGATATCGTGCATGTTTTGCGGTTGCGGACGATCTGGGAGCCTTGATCTTACGCCAGCGGAAAACGCCACCGCATAATTCAGGAAACGACTGAGCAATTTGCCTGTGGTTACACGGAACAGTGTTAGATTCAAGAACTTAAGATTTTCTTTAAAAAAAATTACATTTGTTAAGGGGCGCTACTCATGCCATGTTTGACCAAAAAACATTAACCCCCTCACAAACTTTTTAACTAAATACGTTTTAACGCAAAATGTTTCCCATATCCCTTGATTAACTCATATTATTCTATGTTATTCCCGTGTGATTAACCTCGGTTGCCAGACAAATTACCTGATCTAGGCGGAGCATCATCAACTTTATATACAAAAAGGATAATCTCGAGAAACAACTCAAGGAATATAGTTCCTTCTTAAACTTCCTGGTTATGCGCTCTACTGTAAACGTTAGAGTTAGCGCCAAGGGAGCTTGCTAATGCTTTTGATTCAAGAAGGGGTGCTATAGCTAAGCAGATTCTCCTTTTGAGGAAATTTTAGTTTTCGAGGGTTGGCCCTTCGTCAGAGCGAGAGAAGAAGGGCTAACGCTCGAAACGTCAGCTTTGAAACTCTATACGGTGGCCAATTTACATTATCAACTCAGTCGATAAAACCAACATTTTCAAATTTTTTGTGGGCTGTTTCGCTCTGACGAAGGGCTAACGTTCGAAACCTCAGCTTTTAAACTCTTTACGGAAGTCAATCTACGGTTTTAAAAAACAAAATGATCTTGTTATACTCTCCCACCGACACAGCACCATAGTTTCCTCAGAAACTTACCCCCTCTAATCGGTTTTACCGCGAATGCTCAAAAATCAAACAAAACCTAATACATTTTAGTCCATGTAGCTTTCCCTGATAATATATCTGTTTTACTGATTTAAATGGTTACTGAGGTTTTCGTTCTAAACTTTGCTTAGGATTCCTTAGCACTAATCAAACGTACTTATTCTTGAATAACCGAGATGATTTATCGCGGATTATTTCCAAAATATCAACGAACAATTGGGTGATGGCTACATTGAAATTGAGTGACTCAAACTTGTAACACTTTACGCTAAGAACCAGGAGCTTATAATGGGCTCCTGCAAGAACTTATAAAATGCTAATGAGGAGGAAATTTGTATATCGACGAAAATCCAAGTCACGACGCGACAGTGATTCAACGGGTAAGACAACGATTCCATATATGCCGCGAACGAACGTACTCTTCGGAACATTTCTTTGTCGCGACGGCACGCCTATCACGTAAATTTTGATCATGCAGGGTTTCATGGCGTAATAAACGCACAGCTGAGTGCACTCCCTAGCAGGCAATGACAGGAAAATTCACTTAAATTTAATTTGAAAATGCAAGTTGCGCGAGTTGCATTAATTGTAGTAATGCATTTGTTATGACGTCATGTCATGGCTACTTAATTAACTCGCCAGTAACATGAATAACAAGCGCTTTAATAATTATCATCTTGTTGTAGGAGACCACTCATGGCATTGGTGGCGTTTTAGAGGAAAACAATTATCAATTTATCATTTATCTTCGTCCTTTTTTTAATCATACTACCGTCGACGTGCTAGCGTGAATTACTAAGACCCTCATCATAATTATGACTCCTAGCGTTTCAAATTGGCATGAAATGTTTTCCAAAGGCCGTAATTCGGGTTTGCCCTTTGTACAACTTCTTTTTAAAGTCATTTAATGAGTGCACCCATCAGTTTAGCTTTTGAAAGCGCGCAATTGCTCCTAACCGGAAAGAATTCTCCATAGCAACAGGTCCTTGTGTTGGAGGGTGTGTTAATCATTGACTCTTGCAACATGTTATATTATATTTAAACTATTAATCAAGCTCACTGTTCAAAGTACTTTAACATGAGTCCAAGACTGAACGTAAGGAGATTCCATTTTTTAACGCTCATTGTTATACGTTATCGGAACCAGTTCCACAGGAAAGCTTTACGTCTTAGCGACATAACCTAATTTAGAAACATGTAAAATACATGAATATTGATCGCTGTGCTTAATTCAATGCCTACATTTTATATAATGTACCTGTAGTTAAAATAACAACCTTGAACAAAACTCCTTTTGGAAGAATTTTTGTTACAGGATTCAACAAGTCGAAAGATTTCATGACATACTGAGGCTCGATGTGCGCGAGCATCAACAGATGACATTAAACGACACGGCAGGTAAAAAAAATGTTTTCCAAGTGAATAATCGACGCTAATTCGTTTCATTTCGGAATATTCCATTATAGAAAGAATAGCGGGTTGTACGGAGAACTTACCTTACAGCTGCCTATTAAGTGAGTTAACTGACCAATCATATTTCACAATCTGAAACATATGGCCTGGGTATTACCAAAATTTTCCGGAGGCTAGTGAGGCTCTTGGAAATTATTCTGAATTATTGATGAATCGGCATAGTTAGTGAAAAATATAAACGGAAAAATACAAAAAGAGTACTAGTTAAATTAACAGTATCATCAAGAGAGTAACATGGTCAGTCAACACTTGTCGGGAAAACTCTTTTCATCGAGCCATCATCGATAAACCAAGACAAATACATCATTGTGTAAATTTAGGAAGCAGTCAATCAAGGAACTCGACGATAACAGCTGGAAGAAAGCAAGGTTTCGTTCAAACAAACGAAGCTTTCGCCGAGTCATTGAAACTTACCAGTACTTACCAAGCGATAAGTGATCAAAGGCGAAAACAGAACTTAACTTCTCAGACTCGGTTATTCATGTTTGAAATGGAGAACCCAAAATGGGGGTTCCAACTTGCCCTTGAGGTCACTATCTTTATCGTGGGACTTACAGGAAATATCTTTGTACTGATTATAGTTCACAAGAGAAACGCCAGGACGACAATTCATGGAACATTTGTTACAAGTCTGGCCATTGCAGATCTGGTTTTGCTGTGTTTTGATTCGCCTGTAGCCATTTTACGTCGTTTTGGCCACAAGGCTGATGTATTTAACTGCAGAATACATTTGACTGTTGTTACAACCGGATATAATGCAGGGCTTTTCACTGTCACATCCATGGCGATTCATCGGTGCCATATTGTTACAAAGCCGTGGAGACCAAAGCTTAAACGAAGAGCTGCAAAGATATGGGTGTCACTCGTGTGGCTAGCTGCTTTTATTTTGGTTATTCCACTTATCATCGTCAATAAAATAACAGAAAATGGAAACTGTGAAGATTGGCCTTCCCTTGCTCATCGCCAGGCATACACCGTCTCACTCCTCACAGCACAGTATATCTTACCGCTGCTGATTACAGCAATTTGCTACATACGAATATGGCTTTTTATGAAAAATCGACCAGTGTTGGCGAGAAACAGCAATTTATTTACTAAAAGACAAATCCCTGGAGAAGACAGTACAAGAGAGAGTGTGATAGTACTGAAAACCGTAGCGGCTATTGTTTTGACGTTCTCGCTATTGTTATTACCAAATCAAATCGCTTGGATGCTGTTTGATTTCAGAAATGTTTCCTATGAGGAGCTCTGGTTTGTTGCAGATATATTTACAAGGCTCCATAGCTGTACAAACCCAGTTGTTTATGGAGTCATGAACCCACAGTATCGTCGTAATTACATCGCATTTCTTTCGCGCATGTTGTGTTGTCGTCGATTCAGACGTGTTGCACAGGCACCCCCAAATAGGACAATGGGTGACCAAGCCGTTCGACAAGCTGCATGTATTGAGCAAAACATATCACAGAACCACCAGGCTGACAGTGGCGGTAACATAGAGCTGCCATTAACTATTCAATATTAGTGGTTGGGTCAGTGGTTGATGTGACAACTGTGTCCGCTTTTCGAAGAGTTTTCAAACAGAATCTACCGCAATCACCTCCACACATTAACAAAAGAGCTTTAAGTACTTGGTTGGAAGGACACCAAGCATCAAAACCTGAAATTGACATAATGAGCGAGAACAAGTGGTTGCATTCCAATGCAAACTCAATGGTTTTGTATACTCAAACTTCAGTTTGTTAAGACTCTTTCTAATCTGAAAAGATTTGCTTCAGTTTGGAAAGATTCCGCTTCAATTTGGTAAGGCTTGCTCCAATTACGAAAGCTTGCTCTGATTTGTACAGGTTCCACACCAATATGGAACACCAATGCAGAGAGATTCTGTTCCACCTTACTTCAATTTCGAAAGATTTTGGTGGAAAATTTGTTATTCGTAAGGAAACTCGTTCTTTGCCACCACCCTTTAATTTCACAAGCGGTTGTTCAATCGCACCATGAGATCGTCCTTTAACAAATTCCGCAACTTGTAACAATAGCGGAGGTAAAATAGTACAGTGCAAACTCCAAAAAGATGACGCATTTCCACTGTGTAAAAAAAATGCTATGAAAAGCTTTATTTGATCTACAAATATATGTTTTTATAACCTTCTGGCAGTTACCTCGATAAATAACATAAAAAAGGACCATCAATACAAAAGGAAGCTCTTTCAATTCAAAAAGTTCCCTCCATAAATATGCTTGCCATCAAATGTGCTGAAATGTCCAAACTACAAGAACTATTGGACTTGAATCCGATTAGAAGAACGATTAAGGCGCCCACTTTTCTTCTGAGAAAGCGTGTCTTTGATTTTATTCGTTACGCTGTTGGGCTGAAACAAGACCACATCAAAATTAGTAAAAGACAATTTTTAAGCCACGCGCATTACTCCATTGAAAAGGATGAGGACGATTGCATGGGATTGAAAAATAAAAAACACTAAAACTTGCAACTTACCTTTAGAATACTTAGAGAACACATCAAGTTCTTGTGGACTACCAAAACGCCACCAGCATTGTCAAACTCACCGCAGTAATTTGGAGCACTGAACAGAGTAACAAGCTGGAAATTAAGGACAATAAATATGAAATGAAATTGCCTGTCATTCCAGACAACGCTCATGAAGTGAAATAACAGTGGACAAAGCTTTTTCGTCTCAGGTTTACATCCAATCTACAACCACATTTACACATGCAACTTCCTTCAGTAAGTGCCGACGAAACATTGTTCACTGTTTACGTTGGTATAGAAAACTTGGTGTTGACACTTATTTGGGATAAGTTACCATAGAAAAAATGTCCATCAACCTCGTACAATTTCACTGTGAGGGTAACAGTATCATCGTCACCATGCAAGAATATTATAGATCTCACAACGTTCTTTTACATGCAATAAACGTTCGGGTTTGGCTACCTTTCTCTTCTCGAAAAATCTGTAACCGTCTTCAACAACCTGTAAAAGAAGACAGAGAAAGCCACAAACAATTATCACCACGAATGAGCTGCAGAAGCTCAGCCAACGTTTGCCTCGCTAACGTGGACAACTTTCGTAAGGGAACAAACAAAATACTTTCTTAGTCTTAAATATCAAGTGAATTGAACCTCTTAGTAACAGCCTAACCTAACCTAAGCCTGTCACTCACTCTACTTCCGG